CCAGTTACATCTCTGTCCCAGTACATGGAATCCAGCAGATACTATTCTGTGGAAAACCTTCCTGAACTCCCTGTTTTGCATGTGTAAAATGATTCCATCGGCCCAGTACGACATGTAAAAGATGGCTGCCGTAAATATTTGTAGGGACAAGCTTATGCGAATGTTCACCACAGTGAGAACTATTAATGTGAGATAAGGAATCCAGCACACGGATAAAAAAGTCAGTGTTACAGCCACGGTGAAGAAAGACTTGGAGCTGAGTCTTGGGGGGAGGTTAGCTCCATCTGCTGCCACTTGGTTTTCTTGAGCAATGCGCCGAGCTTGTCGTCTGGCAATCACCATAATGTGGAGATATAAAATCACAATGGTCAGCAGGATCAGTAGAATGAATCCAATAAGTGTAAGATTTATTACTCTAATGTTCTCATTGCTGCACATATTTAGCATAAACCACACAGTCATCACAATGGCAGACATTATGGCCAACACCCAACTACTGACCACAGCAATCACTGCTCTACGAAATGTCATCAGTCGTAGGTAGTGCAGACACCAGGCAATAGCGAGGTACCGGTCAATAGTCAGTAGCAATAGTGATAGTAGGCACTCCAGTAAGAAGATGTTTCCCAGAATGATTTGTGGTGTGAGAAGTGCTGTGGATCCTATGTAGATGCTGATAACGGATGGGATAAGTACAAATAATCCCACACCAAGATCTGATATGGTAAGACACATCATAAACACTCTTGTAGACAGTTGAAAAGTTGTCATCTGCTTGATAACAAACAAGCACAGTGGATTCCATGTCATTATCAGAACAAGATTCAGTATAATTGGCAAAGTTAAAAGAGGTTTTGCCAGGTCACCTATTTCCACTGTACCTGTACATGTAGATGTATTCTCAGACCAAGCCATGGTGCTCCTTGAAGAGCTGAAGTGCTGCCTGTAGCTACTGCACTGTCCTGGCACTGGGAACTGAGCAGTTTAAAACTAAGCGTTATCGACTCATATTATGCTCTTTTAGTGCTCTTCATGGTCTTTTCCTGCGTGCCATGTGTGATTGATGTATGCTTTCATCTCTAACTGCTGTTGACGTAGATTATTCTGACTCCAATGTAATTAGCGCC